GAAAGAGAATCCGTATCACTCCTGGGAAATCTGAATGAGAAATAACCATGGAATTACGTTGGCTGTGGCAAAAGAGAGCATACTGTTTGTCCACGCATTCAGCAAACATTCATTATTTGCTTGTTCCATGCCACACAATGCTGCGTTCTTTGGGTTAAGATGGGGGACACGAGACCCAGTCTGCCTCTTCAAGGAGATGAAGCGTGGGCATAAGTACATATAAGATAGTGAGTGATCAGTATCTAGGAGATTCCCAGTGGCAGATATATTTCTGTTTGGGGTAGAAAAAGGTGGTAGAGGGGGTAGCTTTCAAACTGATCCATGATAACATTTCAACAGGCAGAGAAGACTTAAGGTGGGTGTATTCGTTATCTGGGGGACTTAACAAAAGTGTATTCTCATTCTGTTTTGGAGCCCGGAAGTCTGAAATCCAGGTGTTCATAGGGCTGGGCCCCTCCTCAAGTCACTAGGAGAGAATCCTTCCTTGGCTCTTCCCAGCTTCTGCTGGCTCCCGACTTCCCTGGGCTTCCCTTGCCTTGTGGCTGCATCACTGCAGTCTCTGCCTCATCTGCACATGGCCGTGTGTGTGTGTGTGTGTGTGTGTGTGTGTGTGTGTGTGTGTGTGTGTGTGTGTGTGTGTGTGTGTGTGTGTGTGTGTGTGTGTGTGTGTCTTCGTACCAGAACACTGGATTTAGGACCCACTCTAATCCAATATGATCTCATCTGGACCTTGTCTTGACTAACATGCAAAGACCTCATGTCCCAATAAGGTCACATTCTGAGGGGCCAGGTAGACATAAATTTCTGGGAGCACCATTTGACTCACTACAGAGTGGAAGGAGAATTTCAACAAACCAGTCAGGTGAGTGGAAGCAAGACGTGTTTACAGAGTGGTATCAGACTGTTCTGAAGAGAATAGGAGACAAGCCTAGGAAAGTATATTCCGGCCAAATTAAGGAGGGCTTGGGTACCAGCATAGGGGTAGAACGTTACTCTGTAGGTAGTTGGGAAGCTGGGGTACTGATGAGACACCTGTGAACTCTCATTTAGCAAAGATCGAAGCCAAGGATTATAGACCCATCTCTTGGAGGAACTGTGAACTTAGGTCAGATCAACATTTGGTGAGGTTGACCATGATTGGACCAATTTAACTGGAGAAAAATTAAGCCCTGAGACTTCTGTTTCAAGGAGAAAGTTGGTGGTAGGAGGTTTGGTGGGTTTTCATTCATGCCACAAACACTTACTGAGCACCCGTCCTGTGCTAGTATTGCTTTAAGCTCTAGAGATACAGCCAGGAAGAGTCAGGCTAGGTCTGGGCACTGAAGGAGCTTGAGCTTTAGTGGCAAGAGAGACAGTGAACAAAGGAGTAAACAGTTTCGGGAGTATGTTTCCACTGAGCTCTTTTAAAAAAATAAATTTGTTTATTTTTGGCTGCATTGGGTCTTCGTTGCTGTGCACGGGCTTCTCTGGTTGCAGTGAGCCGGGGCTACTCTTCGTTGTGGTGCACGGGCTTCTCATTGCAGTGGCTTCTCTTGTTGCGGAGCATGGGCT